CCCCAAAACCCCAAAACCCCAAAACCCCAAAACCCCAAAACCCCTCTAGAAATATGTTTGATTTGTAGAATGAAATTTAGTTAGTAAAATAATTCTTGATTAATTAGTATACATTTAGAAGCATTAACTCAAATTTTCATTCACATTTATTTGCCTTTCAAAGGAATATCTCTTCATCAATTCTATGAAATCTTTTGATCTCTCATTTACAGCGATTTCATGAGTTATTCTCTTTTGCTCTGTAATTCCAAAATTTAGAACTTTTTACGTTGTATCTCTCTTTCACTCTCTTCGAGTTTCTTTTAATACTCTTACTGCTTCTTTGACACTATATTAGAGACCTATATAGGCTGGAGACATTGAATGGCAAACGGATTATCCTCTTAGGTGCTGGCATCCTCCTCATCTTTCATCTTCACCTCATTATCTTTCTACTCTAAAATAGAACCTATCTTTTACTCTGCCTTTTTCTTGATGTCATCATGATTGAGATGCTTGCTTACTTTTTCCTTGTACTCTTTATTATCGTTAGCTAAGATCTTTTTGTAGTCTTCCTTGATTTAATCATATACCTACTAATTTATATTAGGGTGGTTTCCAAATAACTTAGTAAGCATTTCCTTCCACTTCTCAAAGCTATTACCAGATAGAGGATAATAAACAATCCCTATGTCCTTAGGATCAAGCGACTTTTTAGGCGGCTAAGTGACATTTTAATTCACAGTTTAATCTGATTATTCCTTCATTATTTAGTCTTATTAAGTTTACTGCAGTTGCTATTACTACTAGAGCTATTACTATTACTGTAATTGCTGTTGCTAATAAAAGCCCTAAACAGTTTGATGCTATTATTAGGAGATTTCATAGTAGTTTTAAGTTTCAGAAGCTTGAGTAGTACTTGGAGCCTAGTAAGCTGGCTATGCTTCGTAATATGGATAATTGCTTTGCTAATAAGTTGGATATGCTGGAGCAGTTTACTAATACTACTAATAAGCAGAAGCGCTATTATATGATTGATTTTATTATGAATATCCATAGTTATCTTATCTTTGCTACTAATTATAGTATTGACTGCTTTAGTATTGAGTTTGCTACTGTTAATATTGCTGATAAGTTGGTCTGCTTGACTAGATTTGATCTCTTGATTCAAAACCACTTCTGCTATTCTGATAACTCTATTTACTTTATTGTTACTAGTAACTTGGCTTGGAAGTTTAGTATGACTGTTGCTATTAATCGCTACTCTTATTTTAAGTATTTCGCTCCCTATCTCTCTCATTGTGAGATTATCTAGGACTCAATGGCTTTTCCAGTTTGACTTTACTTGCATTTAATATGGACTCGGATTCCTTGACTGATGTTAAAAGATTCTGCTTTGACTTAGATCTTTCTCCTCCTTTGCTGCTGTTACGATGTCCACTGTCTCTATTATGACTTCTGGAACTTTTACGCTTTCTGTCATCATATTTTCTTGATTTCTTGTGCTTATCATAGCTGCTACTGCTGCTTCCTGATGAACTCGAACTTCTGCTTGATTTTCTGCTTCTCTTACTGTGATAATGAGATGATGAGTATTTATCTCTACGGTAACTATCTTTCTTATATCTTCTATCTCTGCTGTCAGACCTTGAACTTCTCCTTCTTTCTTTAGAATTCCCCTTATTTTCACTTTTATCATATTTTTAAATTTAGCGTTCTGGTGAGCTTCTCCTATTTGCAGCTGCAGAGAATTATTGGTTAGAATTAATTGAATTATTATTGTATGAAGAAGCTCTATCATTGTAACTTGATCTTTAAGAATAGGATTAGTAATTTGAAGTTTGCCCATAAGATGCTTAAGCTTAAGGAGGGTATTAATTTTAGCTTGCTCCGCTTATAGGTTAATTAAAGGATTGCTATTGTTATTAATCAGATGATCCATATTGCTCAAAGTCATTTGGTCCTCCTTCCTTGAATCTCTTTAATTTCCTAAATTAGTTGTCATTAGTAAATTCCTCTTTTCCTGAGAATCTAGAATTTCTGGGTGAAAGCGCTTGTCCGTATCTGCGTTTGAGCTAATGAATATTTGTATTTCTCTAATCATCCTCTAGTACCTTTTTGGCTTAGTGATGTGACATTTTTATTTCGCTCTTTTTTCCTTTTACAAATTATTATAAATTCAAATCTTAATTTGCTAATTTCTTATTTCTCTATTTCCCCACAGATATCTTCTTATGGGGTTTTGGGGTTTTGGGGTTTTGGGGTTTTGGGG